CTTCCGCACATTGAAATTCCGATTGGCCGCATCCTAAATTAATCATCACCCAACACGATAAGTAAATGAAATGGACTGAAAATCTGTACACGGCGTGCTGTTAGTTCCCTTCCGGGGAGAAATAAAAGTGCCTCCCAATCTGTACAAATTTTTGAGACGATCCTCGGCCTCAAACGTTCGATGCTACCTGTATCAACCAATGGGTGCGCCGCATTCCGCATAACTCACTGTTCAACGTGTGACACGTGCCATCAAACACGATCGTCAAAGTTAGTAACAATATAACCTTACAGATCCGCAAAAATATCTTCGAAAACCAAACAAACAATAAAATATATGTACAACGTTTCTTTTATCCTGTTTTAATTGGCATTCTCAATATAATCCGCAACATTTTTCGTTGTGCGTACAAGGTGCGCAAAGCGTGTTTACATGCATGCCAGCGCAAGCGGAGTGCGTACCAAAATCGTGAGGCAAATCGGGCCAAAAATGCTTTTGAGCGATAGTTAATTTTAAAAATCCTGCATGTAAATGTCAAGTGACACTCTCATTCTACATGGTGGTCAAATCAGCCAAGTAAAAAAATTATAACTAGGAAGCGACATGGACGGGTAGAAAACCGTATATGATATTAAATTATAAGTTGATAAAAGAATATTCCTGGCAAAATTCGGCATCCTTTGGGTTCATCAATTTCAATTGTTGCGCATCAAATAAAGGAGATGTCTGACTGATTTAAACGGTTATAATATTTGTTTAAATCAACACAGTCGAGCAAATTAGGTTTCTTTTAAAAGGGAAAACCTTATCCAGAAAGAAAACATACCTGTAACAAACTGGAAACTAGACAAAAATGCAAGAATAAACTTCTAAACCACATATCGATAACTTCACGTGTTCAAGAGTTACTAAAACTACATCTGGTTAATCCTGATCTTAAAACTTTGCCCAATACTTTTCATTGCTCGCCATAGCTCCTGATTCACTTCAAACTTTTTTGCAGAATATAAGCAACAGTGATGTGCCATATTGGCTTGGCGTTTCTTTCTTTTCTGTAGTGTTGTTCCCTATATCTGTCTCACTTTCTTGTATTTCCGAATGTTTTCGAGTGTACTTCTAGGATTTTCCTCCTGTTCTTCATATTGTCCATTTCTGTGATTACTTTCTCTTCTAAAACATTTCATTTCGAGGGCTGGAATTTTGCTTTTTTGGTGAGTAATCATTTTTTTTTTCAAAGAAATTTGCAAGAAAAACTGCTGCGTCGATTGTTGTTGAGTCGAACATGTTGAAGTTTCGCCAACCATCCTAGTGGCTTCTTCAGAGCGTAACTAAAGAACTGAGTCAATGTCCACAGTTCACATTCAAATGTAAAAATTGATCGATATATGGTCTTGAAGTCATTTATATTAAATTTTGCTTTTTTTTTATGAAGTTATTATTCATATTCAGGTTTTCAGTTGTTCTCTATTTCTACTCATAAGCAGTAGAAACTTGTGACTAGTTTTGTTTGTATTTGTTTGTGTTCATCATAATTACTTCCGCTTTAGTTTTATATAAAATCTTCCAGTGGGTTGCTCGATATGGTCATGCTATTCTGTGGATCTTTCTCACTTCCTGTGATTACAACTATATCGTAGGCAAACACTTCTTCAGATATTTCTCATGTACTTACCAGCCTATATTGACTTTCCTTGCCATTGTTATACAGTTCATCTTTGGTTGTGAATGACTATGAAATTTTATTTTAGTATATGGAATATACATTTTCTGGAATATATATTTTCATCGCCCTAATCATATTAGTATTCGGCTAGAATGTTCCATAATTTATGTCTCAGTACCTTATCAAACGCTTTTTCCGTATCAATAAGGTGAAAATAACACATTATTATGCAAATGGCAATAATTAAAATTTAAAATGCGTCAAATAAAAATTTTAGGCAATTTCTTATATCAAAATGTTAAAGGAAGCTCTTCTGGAAATAACTCTTAAACGCGTGAAGTTATCAACATTAGGTTTCAAGCTTTTTTCTTCAAAATTTCATCTACTTTCTGCTCCTGTTGAAATACTTATACAATTATATTTGAAATTTCGGAGAAACTTTAAAAACGCTTTAATATTTGATTTGGCGCCCTCTAGGTATGTTCTTTTCCTAAATATATAGGTTTCCCCTTTTAAATGAGTCGAAAATAGCGGATGAGTTGAATTAATGTTGTAGGTATTTCAATTAGTAAGAAATTTCATTTCCCCCTCCGCATTTATTTAATGCCCTACAATTAAACTTGATAAGTCCAAAAAGATGCAGAATTTTGTAAGGCTAGCAGTGGTCGTATTCTCTTAATCGACTTACAATAAAATATTATTTAGTAAAATGCCGTTTTCTACGCGACTATAGATATAACACACCATGGGAGCATAAGAGCTGGACAATAATTTCCAGTATTCCCTTTAAGTCACTTTAGTTATAACAATTTTTATCGCAAATCTCTACAATTCGTGGTTTACTTCGATTATGATTCAACCTGTATAATGATTACTATATTGGTTTATCTATAAGATCTCTGTTTGAGAATGCTTGAATGCTTACATTCCTATATATGTCCACCCAAATAAAAATGCATAGTGGCATTTCAGAAAATATTTGTCGTAGAGACTTGCAGTATAAAAACTTGTATGATTTAAGAAATTCAAAATTATGATTTGTTTAAATTAATTTTCCTTTTCCGATGATTTTGGTGAGGTATAGAGTTTTTACCAACCTATTTAATTAACTCTTGACTACATTTTTATGAAAAATGAAAACTCCACAATGCTCCACTTAATTTGTAGCGAATCTGAACATAGAACATAAAAATTAATGGGTGCTGCAGATTCAAACAAATCAAGAACTACATTTTTTGGAAGATGGAAGTCCTTTTTAACCCGATTTCAAAAACATATAGTTTGCGAGTATTCTTATTATCATTTTGTTTCACCCTGACAGATATTAATACTGTCACCTACTCAATACTTATTAATACTGTCGACTACTTTTAATTTTTAGAAATTCAATTTGTTTAGCATATGGCTTATTTTTCCTTTCCCAAATATGCACTAATGATCTTCTGAAGAGGTTTATAAATGTGTTGCGTACTATACTTTTCTTACGCGACCATTACTTTTTGGATAAATTATTGCAAAACGAATGATGTGTGAGGTAACTATCAGAACTGACTTCAAAATAATATTTTAAATATAATGAAAACATTTGGTAGCTGGTAACCCGTAACTAAACTAGTGGAAACGCTTGAATTGGCACACAACAGTGTTTAATGAGGTTAACGTTGCAATATTTACATTAAAAATTTAGGCCATTGTAAATCACCAGAGTTTATTTTTAAATTTAGAATGGATAGAATAGCATAGAATAGTTGGCTGATGACACAGCGGAAAGTGTTATAGAAAGTACCAAAAGTGAATTCAGTCAAAAAAAAAAGATGACTGCATGGAATTTCACTCAGCTTATAATAATTAACAAACACAGATAGTAAGGACTTAAGAGAATAATTTGACCAAAACTTAAGTTGTAAAAAACACGTTACTGAAGTTCATAAAAACTCTTGTTTGTTTACTCCTCGTTCTAACAACATACTAAAAATTGCAGAGATATACTGCGTATCCTTGGGTGATTTAGTTTATAAGCATTTTAAAGACTTGGCTGATGACAAAGTTATAGTTCACTATGTCAACCCTAGAACTATTGGTACAAGTACAAATTATGTGCAGCAAAAATATGTATGGCACTAAATGCCAGCACTAAGTCACTAGTTGAACAAAAAAAAATCTTTAACCTAATTAAAATTGAAAAAATATAATTCTAAATTAAATGAGTGACTCCATTAACAGTATTGGACAATAATACTAAGCTCTTAGGTTACAATGTGTTTACTAGCTAGCTTTACTAATATGATAATTTTGTGATTTACAAAAACCAAAAATACATCGGTAACTGAAAATGATCTCTTAGCCTGAATAGGTTTATTACTTTGTAAATCGAAATTTTTGTAATCATTATGCATTCCTATGTGTGCAAACAAGTCCACAGGGCTTTGTAGGTATGCATTAAAAAGATTAATTACGTTTACGTTAATTATGTTAACACGAAGGTGTCATAACCCTAAAGTAGGATTCATAACATCGTCCTTCGGACAAATCCCTATGTTTATGGGCTGATCTGTTGCGCAATTCTTGAGATATTTCACCTTTTATATACTTTTTGAACAGCCAGTATATATTCTTGAAATCGCGATGCAAAGGACTTTCATTGCAAGTAGAAATATACCAAATATTTTTTAAAAGAAATGTTTTTATCAATGTCAAATCATACAACTTTTACATAAAAAGTTTTTACCAAGCCCTTTTAATAAACTCTTCACTTACAGAAAAGCTTAAGATGACTGTGACGCCCCTCTTGAAAATCGGAACATATGGCCATTTAAGTGATAAAAACTTTCACCGCAAGTCGTTAAGGCGAATAGTTTCGGAACTCAGCACTTTGCATTGTTAGAGAACCACCCTGTAGAAGTTGGTATTTCCCAAAATTACGAGCTAGATAATATTAAACGCATTACATCGATGAAGCACTAGGGAGAAGAGTGGTTCCCATTTCATGCTCGTTACGTGTCTTCGGTATGCGATGTGGGGCTGATGCACGTTAAGTGTCCCATTCAAAGTCCCGAGTAATTGAAAAAAGAGAACGTTTTCAGCTAGAGATAGCCCCGAGGGAAAACGTAATGGCAATGAATCGAAAAATTTTCCTTTTGCGGTTCTACGCGATCCTATTTAATAGGACACTCAATGTGGGTCACCCTGTATTTTGTAGAAAGTATCTGTGAAATTGTCGCTTCCGAGTCGTAGACCGATGAGGGAAACAGCGAACAAGGTAGACTAATAACGAACAGCAGGTTATTCTTCACACATACAGGGGGTTAATAACGAAACTCGGCAACATTGACCTTACCAGTGAGGCAATCGATTTCGTCCGTGGAATCGAGGCAATCGTAATTGCCGTCGCACCTCAGTACCTCCGGTATACACTGTCCGTTGTGACATTTATACTGGTTCTGTCCGCAATACTCTAAAGGGGGACATTTCGTTTACGAATCAATGGGATATTTAACCACGCGGGAGGTCGCACATCGATATTAGCCACCGGGTTTCGAAAATAAGAGACGTAAGCGAACACAAAAAGCCCAAATACAGACCGCGATAAAGAACGATAAGGAAAGAGGAAAATCCAAGAAAAGTGGATATACTCGGCCGAAACAAAATACCGCTCTTATAAGAAAAATAACAGCAGCTTCTACAAGTAGAGAGGGAAGGGAACGCAAAATACAGACGCAGAAAGACGAAGCGAATTGAGAATTTGAGTACGACATAAAAGACGAACTAACTACTCTCTTCTGCGAATCAATTCGGGCGATAGTATTACGACTGCGTATTAAGTAAGCGGCTTTAAGGTGAGAGGCCTCCCATGAAAGCGGATTTTGCTTCTGTTGCATCGGTTTAGTTCTAAAAGAGAAAAATTATATCTGACTCGAATTACAATTACGTCATTATTACATAAGAAAAATTAAGATTCATCGTAGTAAATGCCGGTTCATTTGAAGGTCATTCGTATCCATCTGGCTTCATAGCCTTGTCCTCCTACCTACAACCCACTCTTTTCCCTTTACACTGCCCTTATCCTCTCCCGCAATTCCTCCCGGATCCTTATCAGCCAAAAGGAGCTCGTCACAGTTCAGATTTTATCTTTGCGCTAACCACAAGACATGGTCCTTTGGTTACCACAAAAATAATATCTGAAAGTTCTACCAGATCACCACAGGGAGGGATTGAGGGAGGAAATGAGGGGGACAGGAAGGAGGAAGTTTAGAATGGACGGGAAGGGGCGAATGGGTCGTAAAATTGTTCTTAAATTTTCTTATGACTTCTTAAATTTTCTTATGACATAATGACGTAATTGGTGGCTGAAATCTCATTACTATGCTATAGATATCACCTAACATTATGCGTGTAATACGTTTTGGGCAAATATTTACACCCCGATTCTCAAATTTGAATTATAGCATATTATGCAACAAGTTTGCGGAGCTAACGCTTAACAAACTAGTGACTTGAAAAGTTTATCAAACGTGTTGTATAATATACTTTTTCTGAGACTATTATAAATTCACCCAGCGTCGTATGACGTAACCAGTAAAAGGTGTCAGAATATCATTATTATTTAATATCTACCGAAAACATCCGATTGTTCATCAACCTGTGACTAAAGTGCCGAAAATAGCCCAAGTGATATGCGACAGTGTTTAATTAAGCTGACGTCGTAAATGACACGACACGTACTATACCATTTTCGGTTTCCAGATGTTTTCAGCAAATTTTACACACTGGTAATATTTTGGCAATTGTTAGTTCTGATTTCTTAATTCTTGGTCAACACTGGAGATAAAGCAAAACGAATATTTTACTTTGCGAGTGAAAAATAAGCATTTTCTGTATTCACATTGGATCCTATTACTTTTCAATTTCTTGCAATTTCCTGCAATTAAATCTAAGCTAAGCCACATCTAACGTAATAGTACTAAAGAATTGGTAGCATTTGGACAGGTTTCAGAAAAAAACACTATCCAAGTTAGTCAATTTTTTACCATATTCTTCGGGACTAATCACACACATAAATTACCACGAAAAATTATCCATTTTAGTCCCGAAGAAGACAGTAATGTTCCCGAAACGCTAACTACATAAGAAAGTGATTTTTTTTATAAACTCAGCCCAACATATATCAATTGTTTCATATCGATAAGAGAGGCTGTTAGACATTTTGTTTCTGACGTTATAATATTACATTTTTTTGCCTTTTGATTTTCAACTACTACTACTACATTATGAGATATTGTTTCAAGTTACTATTTACAAAACTTCCGGATTCCTACTGCATCGGTTGTTGTTAAAGTCGAAATTGCTAACGTTTCGTCAATCATCCTGTTGACTTCTTCAGAGCCTAACTGAAACCATCACGTGTGTGATGTCAGTTTCAGTTATGCTCTGAGGAATCCAACAGGATGATCGGCGAAACGTTAACAAGTTCAAGTCAACAACAGGACGCAGGAGGAATCCAGAAGTTTTGTAAATAATATTAAATTAGCCTATGGAAGTTGCGTTGAAAAATTGTTTCAAGTTTTTTGTCTGGATAAATTGAATTCCAACTTTATATATTTTATTTACTAGAAAAAATTAAGGCAAAAGGAAGAAATTTAGTCGAGATACAATAAGTACCCGGATAACATATTAACTTTATTTTTTTTTAATAATTGGATTTTCTGTAGTGACGTTATTCAATGTAAATTCCTGCCATCGTATCAGTCAATTAACAGCTGATGTTACTTTTTTTTCATTTTCAACCACTACTACTTGCTAGATGTTTTTTTTTTAATATTTGCTTGGATAAATTAAATTGCCACATTGAATCAACTATTATGCAGAATTTAATTTTGTACGTCAAAAATAAGACAAAATTAAAAAGATATTGTTAAAAGATGTCCCAAAATTTATATCTAACAAACAGGTAGAACATTATTTAAGAAACGCTTTAACAAACTTAAAAGAGCGTATAAAAAAAGTTCCGATTCTACCTCAACCATTAATTTAAATTCAGAAATGCACATGTTTGTTTCACGATTTTGATAATTTACATAATGCATCAAAAAGGAAAAAACAAAATTTGTTGAAAACTACGTTAAATTCAAATTCGTAAATCTAATATAACGTTAATTAATTATCTATTACTATTTTTTATATATTACGTTCATATAAATAACTGTGAAAATCTGAACATTTCTTGTTTTAATTTATTTGTGTCAAATGGAATTTCATCAAGTAAAATCTCCGAAAATATCCGATTACTCCAAAACCTTTGCGATAATATCCAGGAAATATCCGTGGCACAAGAAACTCACATGGTAAAATGGCGCTTCCCGTACTCTAGCAAGTACTTACAGCAAGGAGACAAACTAAATTCGTTGGAATCTATGGTGATTAAATGAAATATTCGAATCTATTACTCAATGAACCAATTGGATTTAAATGCGACTCCGTTGTTAAGTTTAAATTTATAACCCTATACCGGTAATTACCAATCTATTACTACCTGTGAAAATCTGAACATTTTCTATCCAAATTTAACTGTGTAAAATGGATTTTCATCAAGTAAAAGCCACCTGAGTTCAAACAATTTCTTGCCTGCGTCATTATTTTTTCATGAGAATATTTATTTTTACGTAGGTTTAACCCTCTCCCTTAAAGCCACGTTCGATGAACTGAGCGCGAAAATAGCCCGAATCGACCGTGAAACCTCAGAAAATAAAAGCAAAACTAACCACACTGCTCTTCGTCTTCGGAATTGGGACAGTCGCCCACGCCGTTGCACCTTTTCGTGACGTCAATGCAAGACCCGTCACCGCATCTGTAGTGATCGCGCGTGCAATAGGAACAATTCTTTTCGTCGGACCCGTCACCGCAGTCGATGTTATGATTGCATCGATAAATCTGATCGATGCAATCGCCATTCGAGCATCGCCACTGGTAGTGCTCGCATCGTGTAATATCTAGTTTATTATTGAGCGGGTTTTAAGCCACATAAACTAGGTTTCGGTGGGAGGGACATAACCATGTATTCGTCGCTTCCCCCCGTTATAGACACTTTTGGACGGTTCGGTACAAAACCTTTCTCTGAGTGCAAATGCCACCACCAAAATGGTTTCTGATAATTGCCTTTAACGGTGATTTCCTTTACTAATTTTACAATCCGGTCGTAATGGACATATCAAATAACAAAAATTCCTAGAGAGTGACAAAAATCCCATAAGTAATTATCATTTTTCTATGAAGCGGTAAAAAATATTTCTGAACTCATTCAATTATCTACAAAAATGGTCCTTATATTTTTTTTGCTAAGAATCATCGTTCCTAAGATGTGACAATAACAGCAGTATTGGCAGGTATGCCAATTGTACGTTACACGTCCTAATTTGGTTAATTTAAACGGATTGTCCCAATTATTTTTGTTTACCGGAATGCTTAAGTATCTCCAAAACTGCAACACTATTGTCAGATTCCGTGATGATATTTATAATTCCGGTAACCTTTTACTCATACGATTCTAAATACATTGCAACAGGGGTAAAGCTGACAACACTGCTTTTAGGATAACCAGAAACTACCAGGTATTGAATTTCATCCTTCCAGCTTTACCAGTTGTGGACATATTCAAGGGTTCGGGTACATTTTCTTGAAAAAGCATCAGTAGTGATTATTATAAAAAAAAATTTGACTGAGACTGAGATAAGCAGGACTGTTAAGTCTACTAGATGACGATGCATGTTAAGAGTAACACGAATAAGATATGTACTTCTGCTACACAGAAACCTAGAACCAATTTGGATCTGAGCAGCGGAAGACAGAAATTTAAGAATAATTGTGATTGTGGGAAAAACTTCCACATAGTATTATTTACAAAACTTCTTGATTCCTTCTGCGTAGATTGTTGATGAATCGAACTTGCTGCCCTTTCGGCAATAATCGTGTTCGCTTCTTCAGAGCTCTACTGGCATTCTATTCTGTACCTGTTTATATATTGTTTGAGGGGGTCGGAGTTAAATGAGGTGCATGTCAATTATAAACAAAAATGATGGAATCAATGTAGTAGAAGTAGTTTGTTTGACTATTTCTTCACAAGAGATACAGAAATGATGAGCACTTACATTGTCGTGTCGTTATGAAAGAATTCCTCATCACAATAAAACTATTTTTTCAGAAGATGTCCTTTTATGACTTCTCTAAATTTGTAACCTAATTCTTTTACCCTTTTACGTTGTTCGGACTCATCTCATGTTATAATTATAGTTTTTGGATGAAGAAAATAAATTGTCTTTAATAGTATAAATAGTCTTTAATAGTATAAAAACCAATTAGAGTGAAATATATGAAAAGAAATGGCAAAGGCATTATTCCAGAACCACTGAACTCGAAGAACTTAAACCTTAAAGATGATCAAAGAAGCAGTGCTGTGCCAACAATGGGAAATCATGTGAGTGAAACAAAGCGAAATAGGGCGACTTTTGTTTATTGCAATAAAGAAAATTTCGCGAGCGCTGTATTTTTGATACGACTAAAATTTGAGCCTTGTTTTGTTTAAGAGCATCTTTAACAGTTTTATTGCGGGGTATATAAATAGCCGAGGCCCTGATATTGCACCCTGAGTTACGCCATATTTGATACTACTCATTTCTAACAGTCGTTTAAGAGGGATATGGTTCTATCTGGCGAATAGCAACTGAGGGTTTTGTGTGCCCTTTTCTTCACTATAGTGTAGTGACTTTCGCTTTCATAGGATAGGAAAACTTGCAAAACAGAATAAACCGAATGTTTTCCTTTTTAACAACAAAATATCAACTGTATCTTTTATACAATGATTTGTATTTAAAATTAGTTTGATGAATTAGGTATTTGATTTTTAATGAATGAACAGATTTTGCGATTTTCTATATTTGGACAATTCATAATCAAGGAAGCAGAAAAGGAAGGAAAAGACATGAAGTTTTATTGCGTCATGGATGACTGAATCCCAAATGGAAGAGAGAGGGAGAGAGAGAAAAATCCATAAAGTAGTGCACCTACCATAACGTAGATTAATATTTATATTAATATTAATATCAGTATGAAGTAAATTCAGTATATTCTCACAAAATTCCCCCAAAGGAGGCGTCAAATAGAATCCGTAAGATGTGGAAGTGGGTGCTTATAATACAGAATGTAACTCCTTTAACTTTTTGAATCGCGAAATCTTCAGACCAAAAGTATTTAAACCACAATTCAGGTTTCTATTTTTTTTAGCAAAACATCGTTTTCAATAAAAATCCAGAAAAACAAAAATTTTTATGTTTCACTTTGATTAACTTATTAAACATACATCGATGAGGACTTTTAAAACTTTGTTTCTACTGGGTACCCAAAACTAACCAAAATCAACCCGATTGGAATTTTTATTTTATTCTATTCTTAGTCCGACTGACCGGATTGTTACACAATTTTGTTTACGTATTGTACTTTTTGAAAAACGTAGGTATAGATACACATAAACTTGTTTCAAATTTGAAAAATAGCACGTGCAAAAAGCAACAATGCAAATCCCGACATTTCCAGGTTTTCCATTGTAGGTTGACATTTGAAAAGTTTATAAACATATCCACGAAAGCGCCTATTTTAACAATTATCCAAGCGATTCGATCAAATTAAAAAAAAAACAAACAAATCAAATAATCAGATGAAAGAAAGTCCTTAAAAGTATTTACAGATTAATTAAAAATAATACCCGAGGTTCAGTAAGATGTGATGGTTTACACTTGTATGATGCTTATGAGAAATAAGATTATTTCTTGATATATTCAAATAACAACTCCCATTTTGGTGGCTGCATCTTGGAACGCAAGTTCATATTTATTAAAACTTTCCTATAATTATAGTGAGTCTACTTTTACCTCTAAAATTTTATGTAATTCCTCAAACAACCCCTAATGAAAAAAATATTTTGAAGTTTAAAACTATTTATAATTAATTCTCAGCAATTCCCAATACTTGCAGGCGATACTAAGGTTAGCATTCTAATTTACCAAAGTTGAGTTATGTTAAGTTAACTAATTTAAGGTTCATATTAAAATTATGTCCGCTCCCTAACCATACCCAAATTACCGCCACCTTATAGATTTTATCAAATGCGGCAAATTCGTGTTAGAACCCATACTTTCGCATCCAATTTCGTCGGACTGGTCTTGACAGTGGCGTGTTCCGTCACATCGTTGCGCGTACGGTATGCAAAAACCATTGAGACAATGGAAATCCGTATCGCGGCATGCTGCAAGTGGATATTGTATCCTTACAATGACAGACGACGGATAAAAATGACTGGATATTTTACCATTTAGGATATTTAATGGGAAAGAACGCTACATGGCGGGTAGATTACGGGACGCTACGTTTAGAAAAAAAAATCCGTTAAGTTGGGGTGGCGTAATAAGATTCTGATCTACATCGCTGCCAAATTACCATCAAGAGGATTAATTTTCAAAATTTCATAGGAACTCAGTTATCATGATAATCTGATATGTTTCGAAATATCTCAATTGTCATGATATTCTGATATACCCAGCTGGAATATGGAAATTTTTTAATTATTATGAATTTCAGATATTATATCCAGCCTGGGTGTCGAAATTTCTGAATTATCAGGATATTTCCAGATGAATCTCGCCTTGAGTATCTAAATTTCTCAATCATCTTGATATTCTGATATTATGGACATCAGAATTTGATAAATAATTGCTTGTATATCTAGAGTCGACAGCAACAGGTATTGTGTATTGCATTTCCTGTGAATGCGAATGACTATTTTATGCCGATAGACCAAAAGTTAATATATCGGTTTTCAGCATTAGACAGATGATGGTAACTTTGAAACGATGCAATCCCACGAACAATGGATATTACTACAGAAAAGGGAATGAGAATGTTGAAGCGGATACTTGACATGGTCTCTACGAGAAGAATACGGACATCACAAATGGACTGATTGGGAAAGTCTTCAAACACTTACGACAATTTTTTTCATCGCTTTGATCAAGACATTCGTACTGACGATTGCACTGCCATTCTAAAGGTATGCACTCTCCGTCATGGCACCTAAACTGGTCTGGCCTACAGGTTCCCAACGTTTCTGTTTTGTGTGTGTGTAAACATGCAAATTTACCGTAATCAGCGTTAGACATGTCACATACGCAAATGTAAACTGACTGTATTGCAATTGCAATTGCGTTGAGAGGTTATTTTTTTCCGTTTTACAAGGTTCTAAAATATGCAGATGGAAACTAACGTTTTGCATACGTTCGGCTAGGGTTGAAAAAAAAAACAGTACCCTACATGATTACATTTAAACCTAATAAGTAGACGGTATAACATGATTTTAATACCTAATATCCATCTACACTATAGAACATCTATAATGCGTAAGTCTGGCCTCGTTTGCATTTGGACAAGCGAACATAACCTCAAAAACACAACTGCATCCGCAAGCTAGTACTGTACATGTTACATTTCGCGATCCACAACCCCCAGTAAAAAAGGAAAACATGCCCTTCGTTGTGCAACTGCAATAGAAGCCGGGCAAAATGTTCAAGCTGTTACCAGTGCCAGCCATAATCCGAAGCGGTTCTTTTTCGATCCATGCCGAACGAGAGGTAGAAATGAAAACGGACAGAAACTTACGTGAGGTTTGACAGCCGTATTCGTCGTGCTGATTCCTGCACTCCGGCTCCCCGCTGCACCGCAAATAGCTGGGAATGCACTCTCCATCGCCACAATCGAATTCTGATTCGCTGCATCGGGACGCTGGAAACAAAAAGGACGCGTGCTAAAGATTTGTTTCCATAACATCTAGAAAATGAAGAAAAATGAAGATATATATATCATGAGAGAAATTTCTCAAAAGTGCTGTTTAGTTCGGCAATCATGACTAGCTTGACTTTCCTAAAACAATTAAAAAAAAATCAGTGTTATACTCAATGTTTGTCACATTCTGTGGGAGTTAACACTTTTATGTCTCTGTCTAGCTCAATGCATAGCCTATCATATTTTCTCAGCGTCCTGTTTTTTTTATTCACTTCACATTACAAGAGGAGTTTTATAATACCAGATTGCATACTGCAAAATGATGAATAAGACCTGTGACGACGTAGTCTACACCTTAATGCGATGGACCATCAACCCCATCTGCCTGAAGAAAAGAATACCAGCGAAAAATAAACTAATATCGATCAAGCACAAATTAAACCAATCAAATCAATATTAATCAGTTATAAGGAGTAAGGGAGGAAACACCTGATATTGTCTTTTTATTTGTTTAATGTAATAAACTGTAATTGTTACGTTTGACATTGAATTCAATATTTTATTTAATAAGTGAAACAAAGACATAAATAAAAAAACACAATTTTAAGAAAGGGTCGGATAGTGTTAACAGAAATTCCCACAGAATTGAGTATAAAACTGGGTTTTATTTGAACACTGTATATGCCTAAAACTAAAAATTAATTACTCTATAAAGGCAGCACATTTTGAAGACGAAACTTTTATAGTTATGAAAATGAACAAACTGAAATATTCGAAACATTTCACAAAACGTATGGCTAACAAGCAATATTTGAAAGGACGAATATTTTCCAGTTTACTAATTTTTGAATGAATCCTGTGATTTAATCTATGGTTCATACTGTTTCGATAACAGCTGTACGAAGACAGGTAAGTCAGTTAGGTGATTACTTTGGGACGCAATAAGTTTCCAATTTTAGGTAGTCCTAAACAATCTGATAAGGATTATAATGCTACATGCGATTTATAAAAATTTTGAACCAAATTGTTTGTATACAGGGTATCCCCAGTTGGCAACAACGCAACCCATCCCATTTTATGTAAAATATTTCATACAAAATACTAAATAAATGTAGGACTCTCCAGTTTATTTCAGTGAATATTCAATTGCAAAATACTAACTTGGGAATTTTTTTGCGGGATGGTGATTTTAATATTAATTAACTTTATAATCAAAAGACTGAGGTCAGGTTATTTAATAGTTCTGCAGATTCTTTGGGTATCCGACCAACCAACTAGAATCATGTGTGCTGAATATTAAGATCAATAGAACACCAGCTTCATTTATGGCACTCAGAAACTTTAACAAACTTAATTATGACAGTTTTAAATTTTTGATTTTGGAAATGCCGAAGATAAAGTGAAATTTTTGAGTAATAATATTTTAATGCTTCTCGATACACATGCACAATTTGAAACAATCCGAGTGACTAAAAATTATGCGCCATGGTTAACGGACATCCTCAAGGAAATGATAAAACGATGTGATAAATATTCAGCTAAATTTAAAAACAATAAAAACCCGGCCTATTGGAATTGTTTTAAGGAGGCGTAATACGATGAACATGATCAACTGAATCAAACTCGGAAGGAACTATGGAAAGCGTTCAGATCGTTGGATTTGGGTAAAGGTGGAAGTAGTGATTCGATGCCAAAACAGTTAGGTGTTGAAAATATAAACAAACACTTCATTAATAGCAGACCCAATCTCCTGCCGGATACTGAATTAATTCATATTATCGAAGAAACAAACACGCTTCAAGCCTTAGCTTCTCCTTTACAGGTGTTAAGGAAATCGAAATAATAAACCCAATAAATAATATTAAAACTAAAGCTGTAGGGGTGGATGGTATGTCAATTAAACTTTGCGTTCCCCACATATTCACGCCCATCACACATACAATAAATTTTTATTTACAAAAATGTATATTTTCTGAACAATAGAAAAAAGTCTCAGTTATTCATCTGCCTAAATTCCAAATCCAATGAATTGTATTAATATCAGACCTATCAGTGTCCTCCCAACATTCTCTGAAATGTTTGAAAAAGTAATTAACTAACAGCTTCAAAAGCATTTGTATAATCTCTAAGACTCTCTTATACCGGTAAATCAATCAGCTTTTAAAGCTGAACACAGTTGCACAACTGCCCTTTTCAAAGTTACAGATGATATTTTTAAAGCTCTAGATGAACGTAACCTTACTGTTCTGACTCTCTTGCATTATTCAAAAGCTTTTAATACGCTCAATTTTCCTTCGCTAACCGCAGTTTTAATTTCTGTAAAATCAGTAAATCTACTTTTTAGTTATAGTCATACGGTTCAAGCAGTGACATACAAGTTCAAATTATCTTCTTTTTTTATGTCTCAATAAAGACATTGCACAGGGATCTATATCAGGGGCGATCCTATTCTCCACATATATTTCAATTTTTTTTAAGCTATGTCTTTCATGTCTAAGTCATTATTATGCAGATGACACACGAGAGGAATAGGTAGCTGTTAATTACTATAAGAAAAACAAAAGTTCCCTTCTACTTACATTTAAAGAATCAAAGACAAAGTAATTCATAGTAGTGACACTGTACAAAAATTAGGTTTACTATTGGACAGTGAATTGTGGTTTTCAAATCAAATATCTAAATGCCTTCAAGCAGCTTACTTCAATTTAAAGGTTATTTACCAAAACAAGGATTATTTAAATAGAAAAACCAAAAGTATTGTTGTGTGAGTCATTAGTCCTATCACAACTTAATTTCTGTGATGTTATCTTTCGTCTTTGTTTGAATCACATTGATTTGATTGATTGATTGATGATTGACTGTTCGTATTCAGAAATTACAATACTGTTGTTTGAGACTGATAATCGGTGTAAAAAAAATTGAGCCTATAAATCACACTCTACAAATGGAAGATATATGCACTCGGTTTGCTTATTTTGTAAGATTTTGGTGATTAAATCTCCTCCTTTCTTATTACAAAAAATAAAATTTATAAATGAGGTGCACACTACCAATATTAGGTGCAAGGGGAACCTCACACCACCACTTCACTCACTTTATTTTATTATGTAATAACCAAATTTCTTAATGAATTACCAAGTAAATTAAATATAATAACTTTACCAAAAACTAATAAGCCACTTCTTCTATATCTTTTTGAAAAACAGTGTTTGCTAGTTAGTCGTAGATAAAAAAATAGGTAAAAGTTCAAATAAACGATATTGTCTAACGGTTATTGTTCCTCACTGTAAGATTACAAATTACATTGTGTATGATACTTCCGTTGCGTTCCTAGACACACTTCGGTAACTTTCCAGAGATCTTTTAGCATGAGCTTATGAGTGTATGATGTGCGTCTATTTCTTGTATTTATGATGTAGGTACGGGTGTGTATTTTGTTGACAATTATGGTGTTGTTCTTGTTGTTTGTATTGTTACTTATATTGTAATATTTTTATTTTCAATAAAGACAATTTATTATTATTATTATTATTACTTTTTCATAATTGTACATCTGCCCTCTATATTTTTTAGGCGTTAAGTTTTCAGGTTATGTGTTGTTTATGTTTATTATTGACTTGTGGATTATTGTAAATAAATGTATTATTATTATTAATATTATTATTATTGTTATCATTATTATTATTATTATTATTATTATTATTATTATTATTATTATTATTATTATTATTATTATTGTTATTATTATTATTATTATTATTATTATTATTATTATTATTATTATTTATTAATGAGGATGACAAATGATACTTAAAATCAAAATAAAATCTTATTTATCTTCATCACTTGGGGGCACCAAATTATCCCATTACTGACATAATTATGTTTCGACATTATTACCCATTTTCCAATATATAGTATGATCATTAAAAATTAGGTTTAACCAATAAGTAGGACAGTAATTATTTAGGTAATAGAATAACAAAAAAAAGATTAGTTTTGGTTAGTTGGCGAAACCTAATTTTCAAGGAGAAAATAAGCGGAGATAATAAATTAACTAAAAAAGTGAAACATCAAAATGTCGTAACGTTAGCTCCTGGGTAATTTTATCTTCTTCTAAATATTGTAAGAAACGTAACGTAGATAAACAACATTTTATTTGGATTTTTAATATGATTTATCAACTTTGTGTTTAGTAAATTCGGGATAATTGGCCATTAATAGCAACCGACAAAATGAAAATGCTCAAAAAACGGAAATTGAATTATTTCAAGAACGTTATAACTTTTTCAAGTACAAAAGAAACCAGCCACCTATCGGTGTAGTGTGGTGAGCTGTTCCTCTTCAAAACTTATTTAAAGATCAGATATATTTAAAATGAGGATGTAAACTTTTTAAAATTTAATGTGAAAACAACAACTGCCGATGTTTCAAAACAAAACTGCAGTGCAACCTCAAATGTCGTTAAAGTGATGCATGCATGAAGTAGTGATATATTATTTTAAAAGTTCACCCGTCATCACTTTAACAACAACCTAGTTTTATTAAATACTTAGTTTTGGTTTCAAATAAGTGTGTTATTTGTCAATCTTTGTTTTATTTCAGAATAAACAGAAATAAGAAGTTCTTCATGAAATGACACTATAACTATAATACTAGGACATATACGCATTTCTGTTCCAGGAGACAGTGTTAGAAAATTTGTAGCATGTTCCCTGCAGTCGCGAGAAGCGGAATCCGATTGCGTGGCGCAACAATTTTTTTCTCGGTATAGTGCCTTTAAAAATTCCCAATAACGGACAAAATTTGTACCAAGCGGGACCATTCACCGAACGAGCTGAATACGAAGAAATTTATTATACGAAGTTTTGCCATAAAGAAAGGCGACGACCCGCTTCGAATTTTCAATATTCCATTGTGACGGCGATGGTTGCCGTGAAAATTGGCCTATTATTACGATACCGTGGGGCCAATATCCCTAATCAAAAATCGTCGAACAA